CAGGCCCCTCCAAACTTGGCAGCTTTAAGACTTGTAGACTTCAACTTCCATGCTAGCTGGGGGAATTCTGAGAGTTGAAGTCCACAAGTCTTAAAGCTGTCAAGTTTGGAGAGCTCTATATTAGGGGATTAGAATAGAATAGAATAAGAGGGCTGGAAGGGATGTTGGAGGTCTTCTAGTCCAACCCCTTGCTCATGCAGGAATCAGACAAATGGTTGTCTCATCTCTTCTTAAAAACTTCCAGTGTTGCAGCATTCACAACTTCTGGAGGCAAGTTATTCCACTGATTAATTGTTGTAAACTGTCAGGAAATTTATCCTTAGTTCTAGATTGCTTGTCTCCTTGATTAGTGTCCATCCATTTGGTGGAAACTAATCCAGGAGAGAAGCAACCTAGAACTAAGGAGATTTTCTTAGTTGGTTTCCTCTTTTGGTTAGATTGGGTGTTTCCTCTTTTGACTAAGAAATGGACTCTTCCTACAATGGTGTCTTCCTTGTTTGATTTTTCTACAAAAAGACACACAGATCCACCTCTCGCTTATTCTCTTCTCCTTTCTTCCAGAGCTGGATGGTCCCCAGGACTTGCGGTTCAGTGACATTCGTGAGACCTCTGTGGTAGCCAACTGGAGACCCCCCTCCTCTCGCATTGATGGCTACAAAGTTTCTTTCCAGCCTTCAGATGGTGGTGAGGGTCTTTATCTACTTGTTCCCCAGGAGTGGTCTGTTAACAGCACACAGAACGTCTTAGTTGAGGTCACACAATATGGCAGAAAGAGCTAAAGTGGAATAGAAGTAGAGTCAGAGAAAAAGCCAACCATTACGAATCAATGTAGTGTGGTTTATTTGGAAACAGGGTTATGATTAAGAGTTAGATGCAGGGGTCTTGAAACTTGGCAGCTTTAAAAGACTTGTGGACTTTAACTCCCAGAATTCCTCCTCCAGTCATGTTAGCTCAGGAATTCTGGGAGTTGAAGTCCACAAGTCTTAAACTTTGCCAAGTTCGAAGACCCTTGAGTTAGAGTCATGGCGGTTAGGTGAGCATAGTAATTGTATTTTATGAACCTGGGTTTAAGCATTATTGTGTCACGTTAATGCAGTTGGGCCTCCTCAGCAGTCTTAACATTTTGTAACTGCGAACCAAGACTCAACTCTAACTTTGTTGTTATGGTAATGTTGACAGCCAGTTTGGTCTAGTGCAGGGGTCTTCAAATTTGACAGCTTTAAGACTTGTGGACTTCATCTCCCAGAATTCCTCCTCCAATCATGTTAGCTCAGGAATTCTGGGAGTCGAAGTCCACAATTCTTAAACTTGCCAAGTTTGAAGACCCTTGGTGTAGTGATTAAGGTGCGGGACTAAAAGTTGGGAAACTGAGTTCTAGTCTTGCCTTCGGCACAGAGGCTAAGTGGGTGAATTTGAGTCAGTCCTAACTCTCAGCCCTAAAAAAGACACAGCAATAGCAAACCCCTTCCAGAAAGGTTATTATTCAGTCAGCCTGTATCTCAGTGCGAGCTTTTCCAGTCTGGTCCTCTCCAAATGATTTGGGCGACAAACCCCATCATGCTCAGCCAAGATGTATGTCAGCGTTGG